AGGTATTATGATCTAGAGTTTACTAAAGTTTCAGCTTCACCTGGGTCGCATTATAACCATCAGTGAAAATTGAATTCGGTTGGTGGAGTCTATATTTGACATCTAATATCTGCTCTAAATAGCCACGGGTGCATGTGAGTCACAAGACAGACTTTATTTTTAAAACAAGTCAGACTAGATCCATATCACATTATATACTCTTTTTTTTTTAAAAAACCCATATTTTGGTGTTGGCATTATTTTTAATCTACCTGAATTTGGGCCTATGGCGACTTTTGGGTCTAGGCAGCTAGGGCTAAATACGGGATTGATACATACGAAACTAGTTGTGCATCCACTCTCTCAAAGTTTTGGATGCGGCGAGTGCCTTCACGTTTTTTGCATTTGAATAAACTATACTACTATTACTAGTATGCTTTTAATATCTCAACTCACATTTGTATCCATCCTAATACCACTCTGGATTCTTTTCCGTCGTTCACTTTTTAGGCGATCAATATGCATCCCGTTAATCCTCTCGAACGACTCGGTCAAAAATGGTATATTTCCACTCCCATGCTGGACGCCGTTGCGTCTGATCTTCAGGACCATGGAGTTGGGGATTTTATTGTATTGATGGACAACTCAGATTTCTGCATTTCTCGAACGTTGCCCCTTCAGTTTCCCACTCTAGATTTCCGACATAAAGTGAGCATAATAATGCTGTGTTCATACAGTCCTTTGCAATGCTTCTACTTTATTGCCTTGCATACCTTCTGTCTTCAGATATCTAATCATTTGATGATCATTAGGCATTTAATTTCTTATGATTTATTAACATCCTAACATTCAAAATGAGTCACTAACACTTGAACTGTTAAGGGATTCCACAAAACAGTTCTTCATCATATTTACAGATAATAATCACCATCATGTGTTTTTTATCTTCTTTTTTTTAATCAAATTTCTGGCATAATTATAATAATTTAATTATGCTTTCAGATATCTTAAGCTTTCGTAAACTGGGGACATGAATTACGAACCTCTGAAATTTTTTTGTCTTGTAATATTAAGAGGATTTCAAAAAGTTCAAATTATAGATTGAATACTTTATTCTAAATAATTTTTTTCTGAGTTTTACGTGAGCTCTTTCTTAATGTTCTACATTTGCAATTCTCTTGTATTAGTATACAGTAAAATTGATTTATTTTTAGACTTTTGCTTTATATGGTATAGAATCGCCTGCTTAGCAATTATTTAGATCCTTCTATCTTTATCCTACTTTTTCCCAACTACAGGTCAGTCGAGTTCGTCAGCTCTTTGAAGGCTACCGAGTTCCTGTACTCAGTTTCATACACTCTTCCTTCCCACCTCCACAGTCGTTAGTCCCAGGCTCTAATTCTGCCATTGGGCACAAACCCTGCCCCATATCAAATAATAGCTCTTATTTACTTGTCTTTCGGTCTGGTGCGTACAAAATGGATCAGTCGGTTGATCTCGATTTGGCTTTGGGACTTCGGCGTAACCCATTTCATTCTATTATCAGTACAATTGCAGCCCCAGCTACCACTGACACAGTGCTCCCTCCCAGTAGTTCACCTCGATTTGGCAAAACCACAGCTTCTGAACTTCGATCGCCTAAAGCAAACTCAGGTGCTACAGACCGACAATCGGGCCTCTTGCACATAATTCTCGTTGAGACGGCCTGGAAGAGTCTCGTAGATGCGAGATCGGCCGCCAGTCAAGCTGATGCCTCTCCTAGAGAATTTGGCGTCGAGATTGGGAGTGTAGGAGCATTTCTACCACGTACTGAGTGGGCCTGGACGGCTGGAGCATTCACCTGCACTCTGACCTGCCCAGAAGCTCGTCATCTCATCAAGGCCTGGACTCGATTGAGCAATCTAATCCGGCTACCTCAGACACATCTTACTACTCGGGCTGGGACTTTGACCGTGGACGCCACAAAGTCCATGTGAGTTTATATTTTATTTATTGTTGACGACTAAACTATTGCAATCCTATCAGTGTATTCATCTTGAAGCACAAATATATTATGTTTATTTTTTGATTATATATATATTGATTTAAACGTCAAACATGCTCTATCAAAACCTCAACACAAAGCATCAGCTGAAGAAACTTTTTTTCACATAAAAACTGCCTTGTTTACAAAATTACTCCTCAATCTAACATTCCGGTCGTGATTTGTGATTATATCCTCTTTTAAGGTTCATTTGGTGGCTGA